CCGTTCTTCCTGGCTCTGCCTTTGCTGGTTGGCTTAGCTCCCAGCCTCCTGGATGGAATGCCAAGTGCCCACGACCTTAGGTGCTGAGCTCTCCTTCGGGGAAAGCTCTCCTTTTGGGATCAGGAAGTTCTTCTCATTAACTTCTCACACTCTTCCTGTTGCCCTGGAAGCCCCAGTCCTGCTCAGGGGAAATGGTGCAGCGCCTGCCTGCCTGCCCACCCGCCCGGAGTGGGCCAGGAAGGGCCGCTGCCCTCTGAGGAGGGGGACATGCCTCTTGGGGAGCTGCTTGGGTTTGCTGCTGTGTTTCTGAGCGAGGCTTCCCCTGTGGATGCCCGAGGCCCGGGCGTTTGGGTTGCTGCAGCGTCTCCCAGGGGGTGACTGAGGTGTGTGAGCTGCCTAACTGCCTGTTGATATGCGGGGCCACTGGGGCTGCGGGCTGCCAGGCCCTCCTGTCCGGGCCGAGGTTTCCGTGACCTGATGAGTCTGTGGCTCCCCATTATTTAATGTACTTTGAGGACATCCTCTTTTCTTTACATAAACAGCTCTTACAGCAGAGAAACAAAAACCGAGAACTAGGAAAAGCCAGCAAGAGGCTGACAAAGAGCGAAGTCTGGGTTGGATGGAGCTCAGCACTGACCCCTGGCTTTGCCATCCAGGCATCTAAGCCAGAAATGGGCCAGTGAGTCAGCTGCCATGGGCTTGCCCCGAGGCTTCCAGAACGCCTCGGTGTGCAAAGAGCTTCGGGACTCCCTGGTCCCCCCTTCGCTCCTGACTTGACTGAGACTTGAGCTGGATCCCCAGCCTCTGGCCAGTGCCAGCTGCATGTAACCTACATGCCTTTGCCTACTCCTGTCTTCATGGGAATTTTGTCACCCCCCCTCTCCCCCCACCCATCCTTTGACTCCCCTCCCACTGGCCCTGGCCGACCTGGAGTATTTGTGCAGATTAGGTGGTGGAAGGGGTGTGGCATAGAGTCTGAGGGTGGGACTCCCCCCCATCCTTTGACTCCCCTCCCACTGGCCCGGCCGACCTGGAGTATTTGTGCAGATTAAGTGGTGGAAGGGGTGTGGCATAGAGTCTGAGGGTGGGATTCTGAGTGAGTTTTTGATACAAATTTCTCAAGAAACTCTTGCTTCTGCATGCTGCCCAGGAGTGGTGCCCACAGGGACATCACTTACCTCCATTCCACTGTGATGTGACTGAGAACCTTGTTGCTGGTATAACATAATAGAGGAAAAGTGCACAGATCCCCTGGCCACCTCTGCGAACGTTCACTTTGTGGTAACACAGCGCTCAGATGGAGAAACAAGCTCAATCCTTGGGACTGCTTATTGGGAAGGAAGGGGCAGAATTGAGGTAACCTATCAGTTCCCAATTAAAAAAAACAAAACACCTTCCTTGAACATCTGCCCTGTGTCCAACACTGTTAGCTGCTATGGGGAAATAAGGATAAAGATACAGCTGGGCCTGGGGTCTCCCAGACTTGAGTTGAAGGGACATAGGTCATTACTACACAGAACAACTAGAGGACAATTAAGCACGCGATTGCACGGTGCCCGCTGTTCAAGCTTAGATCCTGATGGGATCTCCTCTACTGATTCTTCCCCAGGTGCTCCTGGTGCTGTTGGTGGAAATATACCCCTCAGGGGTTATTGGTCTGGTCCCTCACTCCAGGACCCGGGAGAAGAGAGACAGCCAGTGTCCCCACGGAAAATACACCCACTCTCTTAATAGCTCCATTTGCTGTACGAAGTGCCATAAAGGTAGGAGGAAGTGGTAACCGTGAATCTCCTCGTTATGGGTCCTGCTACTTTCTTTCCTTTTGTCCCCAAGTCTCCTAACTTAGCCGCTTCTCTCTGACTGAGATTTTCTCCCTCCTTTCCTCTCTGGAGAGGTGGCCCAGGCTGCTTTCCCTAGCATGGAGTTCCTTCCTTGAGCTCTCGGCTGCAGCCTAATCCAGACCCTCCCAATCACAGGGACCTACCGGTACAATGACTGTCCAGCCCCAGGGCGGGACACATACTGCAAGAAGTGTGAAAATGGCACCTATACTGCTTCCGAGAACTACCTCAGCCAATGCATCAGCTGCTCCATATGCCGGAAAGGTGAGACTCAGGAGAGGGCAAGGGCTCCAAGTAGGATGGGCCAGGTGGGCATTGAGAAGGGTGTGCAAGTCTGTGCTGCTGGGTGCGGGCAGAAGTGCGTGTGCCTGTGTGATAGAGTGCGTGGGTGGGCGTGAGTGCGTGCCACAGAGAGAGGAGAGGCTCCTACCCCATCTCTTCCTCTCACCAGAAATGGGCCAGGTGGAGATTTCTCCTTGCACAGTGGACCAGAACACCGTGTGTGGCTGCAAGAAGAACCAGTACCAGGAGTCTTTGAGCGACACTCTTTTCCGGTGCCGGAACTGCAGCCCCTGCCTCAATGGCACGGTGCAAATCTCCTGTGAGCATGGCCCTCCTGACCCCAGCCCCATCCTCATTGCAGGGGTGGGCCCTGTCTTAGGGGGAGGGTCTCCCCCTTTCTGCACCCCTTCCCCAAGAGGCAGCACTTTCTATCCTTCCCACTCCTGCAGTCTGTGGGGATACCTCCACTCGGGCCATCTATCCCGGGCCCTCCCGGCTTCCACCCTGCTCCTCAGGCTGCAGGCCAGCCCTCCTCTAACTGTGCCGCCCCTCTCTCCACAGGCAGTGCGAAGCAGAACACCGTGTGCACCTGCCACACAGGGTTCTTCCTAAAAGACAACAAGTGCGTCCCCTGTGATAAGTGAGTATCTCCCAGCTGCTGGGCACTGGGTCAAGGGGGCACGGGGTGGCTGTGGTGAGAGCCACCAGCAGGACAAGGGGGACACCCCAGGGTGCTCTGGCTCCCACTGGTTGTTTGAGTGGGAGACACTTCATGTCAAGATAGCAGGTAGACCTCCTCCTTTCCCCCAACTTATCGGTCAAATCTTAAGAAGTCTTTGGGGATAGAGGCTCAGACACCAGGGACTTGTAGTTCTCCTAACTCAGGCATTCAGATTCTTCTTTTTTTGACATTGAAATTCTTGGGTGACAGTGCCTATAATTAATTCACATCTCTGAAATCAGACTGCATCTGACAACAGTGGATGCTGGAGCATGGTTTAACTGGTAGCTCTGTGTGAGTGTTTTATGCAAATAACGGTGCCTCCTAGTGTTGATGGTACCGTAGGTTTCATGCAATATGGTATTTCCTCCCCAGTCCCTTTGACCAGGCTTTCTCACTCCTGGATGTTCTTGCATAGTTGCTTGCAAAGAAAAAACTCTGAGAGCTCCTGGGTTTAAATCTCAACCTAGCCATTTACTGGCTGTGCACCTTTGGGCACGTGACGTAACATCTCCGAGTCTTAGTTTTTTTTTACCTTTAAAGTATGGGTAATGCCTGGCAAGTGTGGCTCAGTGACTGAGCATTGGCCCATGAACCAGGAGGTCACGATTCCATTCCCTGTCAAGGCACAAACCCGGCTTACAGGCTCCATCCCCAGTAGAGGGCATGCAGAAGGCAGCTGATCAATGATTCTCTCTCATCATTGATGTTTGTTTCTCTCTCTCCCTCTCCCCTCCTCTCTCTAAAAATCAATAAAATATGTTAAAAAAAATAAAGTAAGGGTATAATGACATCCACTTGGCGAAGCTGTAAGAACCACGATATATAGCTACACAATGTCTGACAGGAAACTCTTCTTTTTCCCGCTAAGTTTTGTCTCTGCTTGAAAGAGCTTTACACCCATCCCATATGGTTCTCATCATGAGCTTGTGAATCTGAATCTTTCTGCTTTCAGATTCCTGGTGAGAACTCACATTTTCAAGGTCCTTCTAGGCCTCCCATGGAGTTCTCATCACTCCACGCTGCCCAGTGACCGCTCCCAACATGGGAAGATGTGTTTGTTCTAGAGTGCTCTCTGTTGCCGGCCAGCAATGTGTATTTTTAAATTTTTCACATGCATGTTTGACCCCTCCCTCAAAGTCAGGTATTGTCTATAGCAGTGCCATCTTGAGAAAAAGCTCTTTAACCTCTCTTTGCCACAGGATTCTCTTCAGCAGAACAATGATAAAGTAACAATCCAATGACAGCTACCATTTGTTGAGCACTTACTATATGTCAGGCAGGATTTTCTCACTCAGTCCTCAATCCTGATAGGTGGGTAGGATCCCTGTTTTCCTGATGAGGAAACCGAGACATACACGTTACATGACTTGCTTGGAGTCACACTGCTAGCCAATGACTGGGCTGGAATTAAACCCCAACCCTGACTGCTTTTAACTGTTTTCCTACAAAGCCTCTTCAAGATCAATTTCAGTTTTAAATTAAGTTATTTTAAAAATATTTTTTATTGATTTCAGAGAGGGAGAGAGAGATAGAAACATCAATGATGAGAAAGAATCATTGATTGGCTACTGCCTGCGCACCCCCTACTGGAAACTGAACCCACAACCCAGACATGTGCCCTTGACCGTAATTGAACCCGGGACCCTTCAGTCTGCAGGCTGACGCTCTATCCCCTGAGCCAGACCAGCTAGGGCTAAATTAGATGATTTTGTGGTTCATTTGTTTCATTCCTTTGCATCAATTCCCAAGCTAGTTTTAATTTTCATTCTTTTTCAAGAGGTAGTTAAAATACTTGTAAAGCAGAGAATCCTCAACAATGTGTTTTTTTCTTTATTTTTTAACCTGTATTCCTATGGTAGGGCCCCTACTCACCTGCGCAATTTCTTCTTTTAGTTGTGAGAAAAACACGGAATGCACGAAGTTGTGCCCATCCACAGGTGAAGTTATTGGGGGCTCTCCGGACTCAGGTGAGGAGAAATAACCGGGTGCCCATGCTCACCTGCCCTGTCGTAACCTTGCCCCGGCACCCACCATCAGCCCTGCTTCCTCCTGCAGCCTGCCCTGATCACAATCTGCTTTGTCCCCAGTGCTGTTGTCCCTGGTGATCTTCTTTGGTTTCTGCCTTTTATGCCTCCTCTTCATGGGCTTAACATGCCACTTCCAACGGTGGAAGCCCAAGCTCCAGTCCATTGGTGAGTGGGGCCTCTGGGAGGGGAAAGGGTGCCAGTGGGGACATGAGAAGAGGCCGGGTGGTAAGACCCACCGGTGTGGTAAGAGGCACCAGCGCACCAGTGAGGAGGGGAGTGAGCATCCCCCTAGTTCGCTGTGGGGCTCCCTTGGTGGGAGGTGGCCCTGGATGGTGGTAAGAGGTCACACTGCATCAGTAGCTCTCTCATCCCTGGGACTACATAGGCCCTGAAGCATGTCACCACAAGTCCCCAGGGCCGGCCCCAGTATGGGCGCCAGGGCTGAGAGAGGAAATGAAATTTGTGACATACTGTCTCTCTTTATTTTTCTTCTCAGTTTGTGGGAAATCAACACCTGTAAAGGAGGTAAGATGAAACCAGGGATCCCTCCCCCGCTCCCCCCACCCCCCACTTCTCTGACTGTCCCTTGTAATCTTGTAAGAACCAAATTAGGTATTGTCGCCCCTGACCCTCAGGATCCTCTAACTCCCTCTAGTCCCAACCCCATCCAGAATGAAGAGGGCAGGGCTGTTTTCACTCTCCCCCACGAATGCTGTACCTCGTCTCTTTCAGGGGGTGCCGGAGCTCCTGCCCTCCGCCCCAGGCTTCAGCCCCACCACAGGCTTCAGTCCCATCCCCAGCTCCATGCCAAGTTCCACCTTTACCCCTGGTGACTGGCGCGACTTCAGAGCTGCACCACCGCCCAGAGAGATGGCCCCATCCCACCAGCCGGCCGGCCCTCTCCTCACAGCGGCTCCAGCCTCCACGCCCACGGCCACCCTTCTTCAGAAGTGGGAGGGCAGCACCTACACGCAGCGCCCAGAGGGTGAGCACCCAGCCAGGAAGCCCAGCCAGGAATCCCGGTGGGGGTGCAGGCGGGCGGGGCTCCAAGAGAGCACGTGCATGAGCAGGGAGCCG